CTTAGTTACTGGTGAATCTGTCTTGATCTTCATTCCCTTCATAACAGGCATTGCACATGATGCAATGGGCTGAAAGACAAATAATAATTGTGATCATTTTCATACCATATACACCAGCTGTTTTCCATGGAAAGTGAAGTCCTACTTAATACAGTACAAAAATKATCAACATGTCTAGATTATAAAGGGTAAATAATGYAYACCTTTGGTGATCTCTCGACTTCCACTAAACACATCCTACARTTCCCAGCAATGGACAATTTGTCATGATAGCAGTATCTAGGGATCTCAACACCAGCTTGTGCACAAGCCTGAATAATAAAGAAGTTGTGAAATGTTTTACAATCAGATATGGAATCTTCACAACATTAGTTTACATACTTATTTAGATGCTTCATTCAGATAAACACCAGGGAATACAGGAATACATGTACAAATGTTAGAAGGTTATGTTGCTACATTTCACAAGACAAGCCACTGCAGTATGTCHCCTTATTTGTACACAAATGTGTATACTTGTATATATGCACTTCAATGGAAATCTCACCTGAAGAACTGTAATTCTTGGATCAACCAGAACTCTTTTATCATTCACAAATACYTCTATTTTCTCTGGGGCTGGTGAKGCAGCAGTTGATTGCTTGGCTAGAATCATGCAACAAAAYAAGCTTTATTATMATGATGATYACTAASGATGTSGTGCTGATSTTCAATAGTCTTTGYTCCCAGMMACAGATTGAAAAGTAACAATGCCTTTGTTTCAAWGGGTGATTGGGCATTCAATTTTCATTCTASRAAAGGCATGGTTACCTTTAAAGATGGCACAAGGAAACTGAGAAATTGAAAGATGTACGTTTTGTACTTACTTAATATAAATATAAATGATAATAATAATAAATAATGATCAACTCAGTTAAAATATATATACTGTTAAATCTGATATAAGCTTTGAGTATATCATTTTGATGTACAAATTGTAAAACTTATTAGATGAGTTAATTAGAGAATAATAGTGCAAAACAGTGCAAATTTATGTAAGGTGCATGTTATTGCGTACCTGCAAACTGGATGGAGGGTAGGATACATCTCGTATGTTTTAGGGCTGATCCCCTTATCATTGGCAGTTTCAACATCTTCTTTAGTCTAAGTAACATTAAGATATTTATTGYAAAGCTTCTTAGTATTATTTCTGGGTATCAGGTACTGTACCCGGCAATAACAACGCAATTAGCAGCTCCACGATGTGACTTGTTAGTACATAAGTCTTACGTTTTTGCCTTGAAAACGMGCCATTACCTTTTTATAATCTACAAGGATTTGTAAAATATATGAGCAGACATATGCTTYAACTTACCTAGGAGCTGAAAGCTCTATTGACGAGCTAAAAGCTACTCCAGACAAGACATACAAATCCAATCAACACTGAAAATTCAAGATGGCGGAKCTTATGACATACATCCGGGACTTTGAACTTTCAATTTTGGTCAGTGGTTTTGCTCAAAAATAAGTGATATACTTCATACATCTTTACTGTGCGTCTCCTGATAAAGATCCTTASGAAAGAAGCTCATGCATGTGTAGAAATGAAGTATATACTCAAATAGTACATGGCTAGGTAGATCTTTTTCTGTGAGTTGACTGAGAGTTCTCTTTCACTGAACAAGGTGAGATTTCTGAATTACTTTACAATAGATAGCTCAAAATTAAAGCTTACAGTATGTCTATTTATTCAGCTTCAAAAGACTCTTGTTTTCCAAGCATGGCAGGGTTGTACAAGCATCTAATGAAAGCCTGTCCATTTCGACTCCCAAGSGTTGGTAACTTGTCCTTACGGACTGTTGTAGCCGCGGTTTCAAAAGCACAAATTACTGGCTTCTCTACATCATCTAGTTTGGATGGGAGAACACRATATTCATTCATGAAAACACCTCGTAGTATACCAAACATGAAGATACCTGGGTACCTGAAAGATGGTAGTGTCAGAAGAAGCAATGCACGTTCTGGAAGGAACCACTCTGGGAAGATCACTACRCGTCACCGTGGAGGAGGACATAGTCAGACTTATAGGATAATAGACTTTGTACGAGCACCTTTTGATAAAAACGTTGAAACATTTCCAGTCATAAAGGAGAAGGTWTTGCAAATYGGTTATGATCCTTGTCGTTCAGCAAGGATAGCTTTAGTAGCAGGTAATGGTAGTAACAARCAGAARCTRCTGATTGCTCCAGATWCAGTACAACAAGGTGACATTTTAACGTCACACAGAGGAAAACCTGCATCTTTAGCGCTTCTMAAGCCAGGCGATGCCTATCCTCTAAAGTATTTACCCATTGGTACTGTAGTCCATAACATTGAGTTAAAGCCTGGTAAGGGRGCACAACTGGCTAGGGCTGCTGGGACRTCRGCACAACTTATCCGCAAGACAGATACCACAGCAGTTATAAGGCTTCCTTCAAAGGTGGAGAAAGAGATTGATATTCTCTGCATGGCATCTTTAGGAAGAGTTTCAAATATCGATAGGAAAAATAGAGTTATYGGTAAAGCAGGTCGCAATAGRTGGCTGAATAGRAGACCTAAAGGACAGACAGGCATTGATAGGACTCATTGGAAAAAGAAAAGAGTGTAGTCTTTATTTTTTTATTGTGTTTTGAGTTAAATATATTAAATTCTTTTTTGAATTGAAGCTTGATGCCACTTATTTTATTTGTGAAAGTAGTGTCATGTACCTTGTGTTGAAAAGTATMCAATGTAAATATTATGTGAAATAATCCAAATATGTTCGTAAGTAAGAGAAAGGGTAAAAATCATAAGTGAAGAAGATAAAATAAAAAAATAAAAAAAAAGACAAAGAGTGAAAGACAAAATAGAAACAGAAAAGAAAATTCGCCTGCGTTTTACCAGGACAGCAGACATCGCAATCGGGGCTTGCGCAAATGCGTCTTGCCCAAATGCGTCTTGCCCATTTCGCGGTCGATTCGAACTACAAACTTGTTGATTTTGGCTTTATTAGAGAAATCCCTCTCAGATTTAACCACCCTTAAAGTTTTCTGGGCTTTTTTTAACCTTTAGAAGATGTGGTACTCATGATATATCTTCAGCACTAGGCAATTTTGGTGTTTCTTCGTTAAAACAAGTAACGGATGTCGAGAGGGGTAATACGATAGCAGAGGCGAAAACGTCGATTTGGAGATGTTTTCAATCGGGGACGATGAGCTTGACATGGATTTGGATGATGAGGTGAGATACAAATACCATTCCTGCGTATTGGTATTCATTTCTTGCTCAGCATTGGTTTAGAACGAGTTCATTTAAGCTTATAACAATGCCTCAATGTAACGACTGGCTTTGTTTACCATCTTTGCATGTATGAAGCTTATGACATCTTGTAAGCAAAAATAAAGTCGTTGTTGGTATGTTGGTGTGCTAAAACCTGTCAGATCATAGCTTTGATACTAAGCTRATATTATACACTAAATAAAAGACATCATGCAATAAGACACAAACGCTATATACACTGAAATYTTTGTGTTATWTTGGTAGGAGTTTCTCTTGGCTGCATGTGGAATTCCTCCTGTTAGCACTAACTRCACARCAACAAACAAATCTGGAGGGATTTCCAGCTCAACCTGTAAAAGCAACACATCTGTTGAAAATGCATCTAGACTTTCAACATGTTCAAGGACTCCATTAAATCCACTGAAAAATACCTTGACACCCCATGGAAACAAGATGCCAGCAAGCTGTGGAGATGGTTCTTACAAGGTTCCACAGCAAATAAGATCTTCTGCTCTAAATAATACTAGCAATAGAACTATACAAACATTTAATTTGAACTCAAACATGAACCAAGGCAAAAACAGTGAACCTGGTCCACCAAGTAAAAAAATTGCCTTGAGTAGTAAAGATGATTTTGGGAATAATTCTCAAGGTGATATATCCAACTTCAGTCAAAACAGAAATATCAATAATGATCATGATAAACATTTACATACAAAGTCTTCGGACAAAAATAATAGCAATGGTGCAYCACAGRCTTCAACAAGAGACTCTAGTCCTCCTACATCTAGCAYWTCTTATGATCATAACAGACAAAATATGCCATTTACTAAGACTTTAACACAGTCTACAACAGTATTCATGACCCCTAATCAAAAAGCAACCAAACACTTTTCTCCAAGAGATGGAGAAATTCTTAGTAGATCTTTTAATAGTGATGTTGATGTTACACCATCAAGAAAATCAGCAAGAAAATTTCCAGGGCCTGCTGGATTGTTACCTAAATTAGTAAGTACTGCCAATATGTAAAACAAAGGAAAAAATGGATCATTTTTTGTGTTTTTTTTTCTTCTTCTAAATTTTGTTCTACTTGTTACAGAWTGCTGGCCAATCATTAGATGAATTGTCAGTAAAATTATCTCCAGCTCCATCAACATCTAGACTATCACCAAACAACATCCAAAGACCTGTGGTATGATACATGTATTAGTTTTCTATCAAGAATGTCATTCCTTACAAATTGAATAATGCAACAAGGTCTGTCAGTAACAGAAGCACAGACAATAAGAATAGGTTAACCTAATATATAGTTGTACAGTCATGTCTTTAGGGTCTATAACCATTCTCTTAAAAATGAACTGTGCAAAGACATGGATATGGCATGGTTACAGAACTCCTATCTTAAACATTGATTTGAGAAAGATCACACATATAGTACAGCACAATCACAGCTTGAAAGTTCTGTTTCTTGCACAGTCATACAAAATCTGCTCAGTCTATAAAAGTACATGATTGTATAACTGTACCAACTGATTGCACTAACCTGTTCATCTTTCTGACTCTTTCTCAGCATTAAGATACTGACGCTTAATTCATATTGGCTTTATTCATTATTGGAAGAATTGTAATCAAAACATTACATGCTGTAAAGTACATTGTACATGTATATTATACATAATTCACAAAATAATATTATTTTTATTCACAGAGTCCTTGCCAGTCACAAGAACCGTCAGAAGATGAAGAGTTTAGCAGAGAACCATGGATTGGCATGTTCAATGAATATAAACAAAGTAATGATAAAAAATATACATTGTAATGATCACAATACACCTTTTCAGTTGCTCTTAGGCCTCGACAGCGTGTTAAATATTCTTTTGAATTTGTAGGAATGTGAGCAATGCAAACATTGATATGAATAGTCTCATTTGTYAAATTCAAAAGAATTATTAACTTGCTATCGAGGCCTACATGTAAGTGCAACTGAAAAGGTGTATTAACTTAGAACTCACAAACACTTCTTTCTTCTCGTCCTTTTGAGCCCAGGGTTATAAATTTTGTTGCTTAATACTTGCTCCCAGGAGTAAAGGGAGTAAGGAGTGAGACTGACGAAAGATTGATGCTGAGCTCCAAAGGAGGGATTTTCAAATTTTCTACAGTAGATGTTTACTATTATTTGATATTGCAATTGCAGTCCAGTTTGCCTAAACATGAACTACATGAAATTGGCAATGGATTTGAGGAAAATATTATTTTGTAATTGCATCTTTCTTATTAATATTTTCAGATGTGCCTGCTTTAATGAGATACACTATACTTCAAGTTATTTCAGAGGTAATGGTATTCATGATTTGAGTATGTACTTTTTATGCTGTATACATGTACTAAGTATATTTATCCAACACATTATTCACTTGTTATATTCAATTGACAGGCTGCTGGTCAGCGCCTTAAGTATGGTAAAGTCCCATCWCTTTGTGTCCTGGTTAAGACATCATCACCTACAGAAACAGACTCTAGTATTTTTCTAAAGGATCCAACAGGTATGGTAATGAAGTGAATGTATGTATATGGACCATATAGCAATACAATAAGTAAAGGGGCTGAAGGTGTTGTGAGGGAACGAACTTTGGAAAAGTGAGATCCCATGATTGTTTTTGAATCTGTCCATTTTGTTTGAGTGACAAAACAGAAAATCAAGAAGCAAAAACTGCCTTTATGGAATTAGTCTTATGTAATAATCATTGAGCATTGTTTTATGAAATTCCATTTCAATTCTTTATATGCTTCTTGAGAAGAGTAAAAATTCTTTGTTGTGTATTGCCTATCATTGTCATTACAAATCTTTAAATCATGCACACAGGTGAAATTCATGGTACACTACACAAGAAGGTTTTAGAGGAGTATCCATCAGAATTAGGGCCTGGGGCTGGAATCATTTTAAAACAGGTACATGAAAATTAGCACAACTAGTTAAATCACTGCACAGTTTTTCTCCTATATGAAATAAATGTGGTATTTGACCAATGCTTTGATCAATACAGTTGGTTTAGTTTGAACCTAACTAGTGGTACAGTAAGATCAGTGCTCTGTGGTGGATTGATAGAAGTCTAGTGTGGCTTTCACCTTATATCTGGATCAGTCTTATTGCAAAATGGCAAAATTACTCTTTCCCTAGTATGTTCATTGAAACAATGGCTCTTCATGACATTATGGGCTCTTAGGGTGATGGGCCCTGGATAAAAATAAAATTAAAAGTGTAAAATGATTTAGCTAAATCTTGTACAAATATTGATGTTGACAACTGATTCATTGTCAGGTGTCAGTCTTCAGTCCATCACCAAGGAAACATTACTTGAATATCACACCAGGAAATATCATTCATATCTACCCACCTGATCCMAGTCATGTCAGCTCTAGTCAGCCTTTGGTAAGACAACAGTCACATGTTGAACAAATCATTGTTAAATGTGTTACTACTAAAAGATTAAAACCAGTTTCTAACCAGCTTACTACATACAATATGCTAAAGAGGCCTAAAACAGACAGATTCCCATGGTTTCAATTTGACGTGACAACTTCAGTCAAGTTTGAAATTGTTGAAGGACAACACAGTCTTCTTAGTTTTTTTTTCAGTCTTCTTAGTTGCTCATACAGTCAACTCTCACCTTAAAGCTACAGTAAAATACTGAATCCCCTGCAAAAAATACAAAGAAATGACTGAAAGTAACTCTCATTACTACAGACTCTCACTACTTTGGACACTAAATTACGGTCCTGAGGGTGTCTGTAATAGCAACAGTTGACTGTACATTGAACATGTATCAAAACTGACTTACTTACTATGCATTATGCATTATGTTTTTCCTGAGACTGCTCTGCATATTGCCTCTTCGAAAGCATGTTATGTAACTATTTTTTAAAATACATAAAATTCTTTTGAAGAGGCAATAGTTTGAAACATGACTGGAGTGATTCTTAAACACTGTACAAAAACATTTTAGGCATCTCAAGGAACACAACCAGTGAAGACAAGTCCTCAGCAAAGGTATGATTACTGTGTTATTTTACATATGCATGCACTAGACTCCACTGCTCAGGTTCATGTACAATGTACAGTACATGTAATCTGACCTGACATTCGGCAATAAGAATTCTTCAGTTGCCTTCAAAAACATCTGGCTTCTTCGCCAGTCACTCGAGATGATAAAACAGATTTCCACCCACTGCTATGATCTGCACTTTTCGCCAAGCAAAGCAATTGTACTTCGTTTCACAAAGATACATTGAACATGTCATTTTGTAGAATTTCCACACCTGAACCAGAAATTTTTGTTGAGAAGAAGTCCTCAGATGACAAAGTTGAAGGTGAGATATACATTTTGTTGGACCTTATTTAATTTTGTTATAATAYTGCACTTGACTGTTYGTAAAATGAAAGTCTGACATAATTTTCTTTTTCAATTCTGCAGAAAGTTCAACGCAAGAATCACAGGATTTTAATGATTTACTTGAAGGACTAGATGATGAAGATGATGTCTTGGATTCAGATTTACTGGCCATGTATTAGTGAACATATTCAAAAATTYAAAAACAAACAAATTAACTAAAAAACAAAATGACAACAAAAAAGTTATTTTCTGAAATTAATCGTCATTAATTTGGTCTTAATCATTATTGCGTATTGTGTATTGATGTATGTTTATGTTGATGATTTTGAAATAATAAAAATGTGTTTTATCAGAATAACTCAGTAGTARTTTATATCGGAATGGTGGGAACYAGCGGTAAMCTAGTGTGAGCTGCGTCGGTGTYTCTAAAGAAACAGTTGTGTAAAAAGATAAATTAAACACCGTAAAAAAGTAGGAGAAGTAACTTACTGACGTTTCGGACGTTAATCCTTCGTCACTTTTACTACGTACACTTCGTACACWTTTACTCCGACGAAGGATTAACGTCCGAAWCGTCAGTAAGTTACTTCTCCTACTTTTTTACGGTGTTTAATTTATCTTTTTGCACAAGTAATTTATATCATTAATCTGCTGRACTCGATTCTAAGAATGGGAGACCACCAAGCATTTCAGTTTTTTTTTTACGGTGTTAAATTTATCTTTTTACATAACTGTTTCTTTAGAAACACCGACGCAGCTCACACTAGTTTACCGCTAGTTCCCACCATTTCAGTTTAGTTAGGATACTCTCAATCAAAAATCATGAAAGCTGAGAAAAAAGGAGCCAGATGAAGTAATGCATACAGTGTCTTGTTCAGTTTCCCAGGTAACCTTTTGGTCGCAGCGTTATGCGTTATGATTTTGAATCTGACAATATCTCGCATTCAGATTGAAAGTTGAGAGAACAAAAATCAGTATTTGAATTTTATTCATACTTTGCTCTTTACACTTAAGTAAACTCTTTACACACTGTATAGAATGTTATTTGACCATGCTTTTCTCTGTTTTACGTACCGGAATTGCCTCGATGTTTCTATATAATTTTGACGATTATGTATTAATAGCTATGACGTACTATATATAGGATAGACGCATAGCAACGGTCGAATATGCGCTTTCATTGGTCAATTCGCGGGATACTGTATTTACCAARTTTCTTTTTCAATGAAACTAGTATTTGTTTTCTTTTGTCTGTWTATTGTTTCTTTAACGGAAAAATATAGTTTACGTCTCACAGCATGCAGGGTTGTCAACATATTACAGAATCTGTCGGCGTTACAGTGCTCGCTCTGTCTCCTGGTTGCAGAGGTTTCGTTCTTGATGGATTATAAAGTCCATGCAATGAAGCTCGAGTCTTTCTTGTTCTCTCAAGATAGTTCGATATATCTGGAAGCTCTATACTTCCATTGTTTACTGAATCCGGCTTTCTCCTTTCTAAAAGTTTTCGATGGACTTCAACAGAAAATCGTCTACGTCCTCGTTCGTACGTCTCTCCGTTCCCAAACATGCTTAAATTTTTATAGATAAAACCCATGCTAAATAACTTGTTTTCCAAAATAAGAAAGATAAAAGCTAATATAGCTAAAGCAATKCCAACGATGAAYACACCGCTTAAWGATTGGAAAGTGAGTGAGTCATGTATGTCTTCTGTTAACTTTTTCCCTGCTCGAACCCACTTCTTGTAAAGCTCACTTGGTCTGAAAACAATGAAAGAACAGACTTAATTAGAAGCAGTGAAAGTACAAAAATGCTAGGACTCAAACATAGCGTTAAATGTCTTTGCGGCATCATTTAAGTTAAGTCGGCGCACAGCCAAGAAACCCTTTGTTTTTTTTTTTCAACGAAAGCTCAGGCCAAATGACGCCTGAAATATTGAAGTATATACTTCACTTAATTAAATGAACTGATTAAAATATCTGTATACGTTTCCTCGCCTGCTTATGTTTGGCAAATGTGCGGGGTTATTATTTGAAATAACATAATTTAAGAAAAAATAGATTCACCTAAGAAATTTGTAGGACCGAAAGGTACATGGGAATGGAATGATAAGTATATAATTAGTGAGTGTTCTCAAATGCTGTGTGCACTTAATTATCATAGGCTTATCTACCAGAAGTTTCAGGCAAATATTCAAATTTTCGAGTATACTTTCGGTCTCTGCTTTGATRTACTTCGCAACAGGTATTTTGTTTGAATGAACGTTTGAGAGTTTATTTCAATGTAACGGGCGGCGGCATAAGGGTCTACCACATGTATTGTCTATTCTTCTCATTTTTCATTAACATTACGAACACCCTGTAGCTGAAATACACGGAATAAAATGCATTGAAATGTGTACATAAAATGATTTGAACTAGAACTATGACATCTTTTGTCACTTACTTGTTTTCTGCCTTCATTTTATTAATAACCAAATCAAACTTAGGTTTCCATGTGGAGTTCTTTCTAAAGCTATAAGAATAGCCAGTGTCGGCAAACGTTTTGGCCGCWCCCACAACTTGTAATCTTGGGTAATCTTTATGTCGTTGTTTAGCGACCTCGTAGTCTAGAGACAGAATCTCACTGATGAAGATGTCAAGTTCACTGCAAAYGATAATACTGGATTAGAAATATTGTTGAAATATTGTTAAAAGACGTCGCCAACTTGTATCAAAGACCCATGTGTAACCGAGAACCTTTGCGGTCGTTTGTTTCGTCTGACAAATGATCACTCGTTGAGAGTTGCTTTCTGACTGTCTCAAAATCAAAGTTAGCGAATATTATTTCGTATGTGAGAAAATCACGCACAGGCTCTACAGTAATAGCGCCAGCTACATTTATCGGGGTCTTTGATCTTTCTCAGTTAAACCACTCACGCACACACAGCAAAAAGGACACAAAAAGAGTTTATGTTTTGTTGGTTGTAGTTATATTAAACATCAAACATGTTTGATGACATTGGAAGGAGTTTGTCCATCCACTAATTCGATTAATGATCGAAAAATGTTTTTTACCCAAAAGTTATTTATGAAAACGATTTATGGATGTTAGTCATACCTGCGATTTACTCTTTTAACGCCGTCAGTGAAGTTTTTAACGAGGTGGTTTCTTGTCAACATTCTTTCAAACAATGACTTCATCACAGGATCTTTGTTTAGTTCGAAATAAGAATCAACAAAACTAGACTTTACAACTCCAAAGGTCAATTTGGAATCTTCGGCAGTAATCTGATGAAAAAGAAAATAGATATGATAAACCAAATTGTGTGGCAGTGGGCAAATGCGGTTACCATTTCCGAAATGGTAACGAAATCTTGTTTGCAGTTGAACTGCAAACAAGATTTTTCTTTTAGAACTCTTTAATAAAAACTGATGAGGTGGCTGTGTCAAATAAGTTTCCAAGCTTTCCAAGTTTCCGAGAATATCTCACTTAAAGCGATCATAAAGACTAAGTTCTTGCTTGTTTTACTATGTATTTATATTTTCAAAGGATAACAAAAGCAAATCACAAAAGGGATGCACTTTATTTTTTAGTTTTTTTTTCTTTATTCAATGTAGCAACATTTCAAATACCAGTACTCATTTATGTTTGCTTGTTTTCATTCCTTGGGGACAAAAATAACGCAAAAACGCTACGAAAACGGCACACCATTTTGTTACATGGGGGAATCACCCATGTTATCACACAATAGCTATGCACCATGTGGGCATAGTTCGTACCATACCAATTGCTGGAATATGGTATATTTGGCTTTGCGTCCACTGACTTACCTTAGGATCTCTGATACCAGTAATTTCTGGTTTTGTATCATCTGACACCAAGTGGGCCGTTAGATTTGCTGTGTACGATGTAAGACATAATAGTGCAAACATCGCCAGGCATACCGCCATTGCCTTAGAACTTCCACTTCTTGGACGATCACCTACAAACTGATTATCAAAACAAACGCCCCAACTGTACCACATGCTACCGTCCAGGTCAAAAATCTGGTCTTCCTTATTATCACGCTGTCTTGCAGCGTAACATCCATATGGACTGAATCTATCTGCTATCCACAGGGCAATTAGATATATATTTACTATTCCTACCATCCCTAACCAAAGCTCCATGGTAAAGGGATCAAGAAAGGCGAAATCAACTGTCCGTACTTTCTTTTCACCAACACGCACTAACAACGCTAGACCAGCTTCTGTCCATCTTTGCGAGAAGTCAACAACTTCAGATCTTGCTTCGTTGGTCATGAGATCAATAGAAATGTCCGCCTCGCCGATGATAAGGTCGCGCACGAYACCATTCCATTGGTTCGACGTGACATTCTTGGCTCCGTAATTCCCATCTCGTACAAAATACACCAAGGGTTCAAACTCGAGTTCACCTTTTACGTATGTTAGGATATCAATAGCTAAACCATAACAGCAATGCTGAGTGTAATTCAGGTTATCGTGGTATGAGATACATTTTATACCCTGAGTGCAACCAATAGTAGGATCATACTTGCTTTTCATCGTTAGTGGCGGGTACTCTACTACGGCTGCGCGGAGCGTTGGCAAGCCAACTCGACTTGACTTAATAGAGGTGGTTAATTTGGTTGATTTTAGCGTTAACCTACCATTGACCCATTTGCCTGTTGTAGACCAGTGTTTTTCGTAGTTCACAGCTTCAAGAAGGTACAAGATGTCATGAGTAAAATTGACTCGATCTCCTTGGGAATTGAGCTTGATGTGTGCGTCAGGAACTGATGCGGTTACAAGTTTTCTGTAAACAATGTTGAGAATTACATGGATATTTACGTTGACTATTTATCAGTTAGTGTATATACTAAATAGAGAATATTACATGGGCGCGCGATAATACGGATTTTATCTTCTAGTGTTGAAAGATCTTGAACACGAGAAGATAAAATTCGTATCTCCAAGCGACCATGCAATATTCTGTTTATCATATAATTACATACGAAAGCAAACTATGTCGTAAAATACCTTTTTTACTACTTCTATTTTATAGAGAAGCCTCGGATTTTTTATTTTCACTAGTTTCACTTATTTTCACACAGTTTCAAAGATAATCATATGATAAATTAATGTATTTGTTTAAAAGACACAACTTTTTGGTAGAGATGGAAAAAAACTCATCTCAATGTTCGCTATAACAACTTACT